TCAGACACGCACTGGTAATTTTGACACTTAGGGGAACTAAATGAAGAGGCACGCGGCTCAAACCCACCTTTTGTAGGTGGCTGCTGTCTAAAAACAGATGAGTCATCCTGAATCAGTTTAGGGGATAAAAAAACTGAAGCAGCTGCGCTTTGCCTTGAATCAGATGTGAACATCACCGCGAAGGTGTCAGTCCTCCCCTGACTCCAGTGAGGACATGTAACAATRAGGAACCGTCTCACAGCAGGAGCCAACAGCACCCACACACGGCTCGGCTGGGGGCTGGTTGTGACCCACCCTAAATCTGCACTTCAATAACCAGCCGTGCCAAGGCCCTGCAAAGACAAAGGCTGGACACTTGAGTGCAGGCATCTTCCTCTTGCTGCACGCAGACACATTCTAAAAACCYGCCCATAATCCTCAGTCGCAACTTGTATTCAGTGGCTCTGGATTTCCCTTAGGCTTTGGTGCCTTGCAAGACTGTAACTGGCTTCCTGCTGATGGGAAARACTGGGTGCTAATGTCTTCRCAAACAATTCTATGGGTTAAGGTATGGCTGTTAACGTCTTTGAAATGGGTCTTAACGTCTCTGACCTTTGAGCAGCAGGTTCTGCAGAGCCCAGACAGCCTGGCTCCTGAAACGGACAAGTGGGTCTGCACAAGCTGAACTTCTGAACTTTGGGGTGAAGTGACAGACTCGGGGTGGGACATGTGGCAGGCGGTTTGGGAAGGCTGTGCCTTCCTAGCACCTCAGCCAGTGRGGAAAGGARGAAGGCAACTTTCGGCTGGGAGTTTAGGATAAAGGAGGCTGTTTTCCCTCGAAACCCCGAGAGAGAAAACCCCAGATCCAGCGCCCCGGTGAACTCTCGCCTTTTATTCGAATGAAGTTACAGGACTCCTCTGTCTCCTTTTTGGACATAAACGTCTGGCACTTGTGGATTAATTTTCCTGACACTGCTCTTGCTGTGTGTCACTGTTCTAGATACAGAARTGAAGACACAAAGTCCTGGATGTTTAAAAGACTGAACTTCAAGCTGACCACAGGAAAGCAGTATTTTCTTTTGGCAATTGTTCTCTTTTACTCACCAATTCTGTATTGCTGTCCGTGGAATTACAACAAAACATCAGGTCACTTCATTTTCTGCATTTTACTTATTTACATGTATGAAAATTTAACAATCATCTCTCACCTTTTATCTTACATATTCACACAATCAGGTACACCTTGGAAGGGGAAGGGGCAGGCTGCTGCCAGAACAGGAAGCTGATACCATCACACTGTGGTGAATCTAACTGCCCTTGAAAACCATTTGCACTCTTCCTCCTTTACCTCTGCTCTAACTGAAGTTTTGGCAACCWAGGRCTGYAGCTACTTGAAACCAAGCTGAGGTCAGGTGATAGATACTGGCAAGCCAAGAGCTCAAATTCTTTTTTTCCAAGCACTTAATCAAATTCTGTTGAATATCAACAGCAATATTGCTCAGGTCCTGCTGGAGCCTCAATATGCATCCAACAGAGAGACTTTTCACTTCTACTTCCTTGCCACAAGGTAAAGCTTTCAGCTGTCTCCCTAAGAGATCCAGCCCTAYTCAGGGAGCACTAGCATGCATCTTGTCCAGACAATCAGTCCAGAACATAACAAGCCGGCTGTCTTTGTTCCAGCAGAAGTCTGTGAAGTCTTTGAGCAGGCGGTCTGCRAATTTCTCATCACCAGTGGCACTGGAGCGCCAGGTTTTGGTGAGCATGGTGTTGTAGGCCCAGTTGTAGCCAATTCGCTCTTCACAGAACATGTTCTGGTTGCTGGAGCTGGTGGAGTTGCGCCGGCGCCGCTGCTGCCCGCTGGAAAACTTCCGCTTGGAGTAGGGCAGCTGCAAAAACACTGTCCCTGCAGGAAACAGACAGCACTTCAGCCTCAGGCAGACCTACCTCTCTCAACTGGTAGCTGACTCATTAAATTCTGAAAAGGAAACAGGCTTGAGTTTCACTTAATTGCCTTTTAGCAGGAGAAAATGGGATACGCTTTTCCCCTTTCACTCTTAGGTGCTACTTCTTCCTGCATGTTACAACATGGGGGGAAATGYACTTGGTCTGCCTTTCTCTTACAAGCACAGAATGAAGCAAAGACGTAGGCTCTGATCCAYCTTGCTAACTTCCAATCCATTTCCATTCTCTTCTGCAATTTTCCAAACTTTTTCTTCCTGTCATTGTTTTCATGTCTCAGCAAGTGGATCCTAAATGCTTGATGTACATCCCACACAACGTGTATGGGTAGAGATGCASCTATAACACCTTAATCACAAGAACAGAGCACTGACTTGTCCTGACACCTTTCCCTTCTTCTAACTTCTGGCTACACATTTATTTACATTGACCTTGGAAAAAAACTTTACCTTATTTTTTTTTAATTTCCCCCTCTTCTGGAAAGAAAGAAAAGTTTCATAGCCACTGTAAAGCAAGATTTCAAACTAATACCATTTATGAGTAGAAACACTTTGTGCTTTTCATACTGCCCCCTCCAGTTTTGTGGTTTGTGTTGTCTGACACACCTACTTGTCATCTGGTTAGGGACAGAACAGCGCCAACATCACTGACACGAAACACAAAGCACATGGMAAATGGTTCTCTTGTTGGTAATAGCCTCCTCCTTGCCACAGTGACTTTCAAATATTGCTCACCTGTGACATGGATATACTGGGGCTTGTTCTCTGCTGGGAAGTTGAATGCAGAGGCTGAATATTTATCTTGTACAAATCCAAATCTGAAGAAATAGAGACAAGGGGAATTAAAAAAGAAAAGAAAACAAAAAGATAAAAAGAGCCACTCCGGTAGGATTCCTCGGCCAAAAGCAGAGGCACCAGAGGAAATCCTTCTACTATCCCTTTCTTATGGCCTGAAGGCAAAAGGAAAAAGGATGAAGAGAGCTGAGCTTCTCCAAATATTCTCTGCCCCTGCCAGACACAGTGTGAAAGACTGTGGTAAATACTCAAGAAGGAAACAACTGTCCCTTCTCAGGAAGAATCTTTTTACAATCTGCTTCTAACTTAGAATAACAGGCAGGATTTCCAAAGACAAGGCCTCCCTAGGATGGAGAGTATGGCTCCTAAGGAGCTGAAACACCACCCAGCTGCCCCTGTACCCACAGAACCCCCTCCATGGAGCTGTATTTTAGTCTAACAAGCTGTGAGCAGATTTCAGAGAGGCAGACAGCACAGAACCCAAGGGACTCAGAAGTGACTGCTCAGCACAGGCCTTCACCCCGCACGGTCCAGGGAGACAGGAACTGTTTGGTCACTCCACTCCCCTGCAGACATACCTGTGTGCTATTGCTTCCTGCAGCAGATGCATTCGGTCCCAGTACGTTTCTGGCTCAAAGCCTGAAACAAACAGAAAGGTAACAATTATCTAGTAAAGATATTTTATTTCCTTCCTTTTCAAGACTTCAGTTTTCCTCAGGAGGCCCCTGTACACTCTTTTTTTTCCCTAGCCATTTCTTTTAGTCAAATTTTTTTTCTGTCAGCTGTCTCTTAGAGATTTGTCTTACACACTCCAGTAGCTGACCTATTCCTGATTTTATTGTTTGTGTCTCTCGAGATGGAGTAGAGGAATATAAAGGGGGGTGTGGGAGGGG